TATATCTAACAAAGGAATCAATTGGCGATAAAAGCATAATTTGCATAAAACTAATTTTAGTAATGTATCTTATTTTTATGTTCGACAAATTAAATTATTTATTACTAGCAAACTAATAGATTTTATTTATATCCATTTTGCCATTCAAATTACTACAATTATTTAATATTTTATCAATAATATTTTGATAACGAATAATGTGTTGTACTCTCTATTTGAATTGGTTAATTTTTTATAACAAAATATTTTTAAATCGATTTTACCATTATTTATTATGTGTTGTTAATGCTTTTAATGTATTTAATATAATTTCATGAATTGCCTTTAATTATATTTTTCTAATATTATTAAATTTATACAATAGAAAAATAAATAATTTCTACTATTATTAAAATAGTAGCTAACATTTGTCCAAATATTGACGCATAGAAAAATATTTGAATATCAATAAGGTTTAAAGCATGAAAATCTTGTTTTAAGTCTACGGCTATAATTCTCGGTTTAGTTTTCATTTTATATAATATACGTTCAGTTCTAGCAATGATCTTGTTCACTTTCATTCGCCACATAAATAAACCTGTCTCAACCATTATCATGAATCTATTTCAAAATTAAACAAACATATCAATGTATTATAACATCAGTTAATATGTTTTGCATAATTATTTAACTACTTTTGTTTGAATCGCTGTTTAAGCATTGGATTAAAGCCTTTCCGAACCAATAGACCATCAATTGTTAACATTATGTTTTCAGTAGACTTATGGAGTGATAGACTCGGGTTTAATGATATAATGTCATCGATTTTATTCTCAGATACTGCTAATACCGATTTACCATCAACTATTGGCTCAAGTAAACTAACAGTGTACAACTCACTGCGATCAATAAACTTGTATTTTAGTTGTGGGTTATTATCCTTGATACAAAATGAATTACATATTCATATATTAAATTAAAATGATTTAAATATATAAAATTGAACAGCAATACTTTCAGATAGCCTTGATAGCCATAATAAGCAGGGTAGGTTAATACAGTCAACATATTGTTATCGCCGGTGTCCACAATGTCTTGCAATGAGTTTATGATAAACACCGGACTGTTTGCCAAATTTGATAGAAAACCACTCGTAAACCATTGCATTAAAAATGTACAGTTGATTAGCCATAAGATGAACACAATGTTGGTAAATGATCTTGTTCGTGTGTATTTGCTTATTGTCGCTATAAATTAAATTTTGTAAATTTAAATTAAACGGATTTATAAAATCTACAAAGTTTAAATTATTTATTTAGTATAAGTTACTATAACCTACATTTTCCCAATAATGTTAACATGTAATCAAACAATACTTTTATCATAATCTCAATCCTATCAATTTGACGATCATAAAATACATGATTAATAACGGTCATTGATGTATTTACAACCAATGCAAATAATATGGCAATCCATAATGTTATATTAAACGTGTCCAGCAGGGTCAATTTGCCAAATTGTTGCACCTCGCTCGATAATATGGAGATTAGATTAAAAATAAAAGTCGGGTACAATAATTCGCTTATTGATAATCGATCAGAGTTACAAGTCATCCATATACTTGACATATCGGTTCTCTGTGTGAGAATATAATATATTTATTTAGCATTTAGATTTATGCAATGTATAATTTTATCTAGTTAATACATTCTGCTTGAGATCAGCCATAATTCCAGTCCAACTGCCATTTGCTAACAAAACCCCTCCAATGCTTTGAAATGCGGGCACAAATGTTACGCTATATAAATGCTTTATTACATGAGTTATATTGATATATAAATGTAAATGTTATAAGGTTTAAGTTGTTAACTCTACTCATAAAAATATTTTTATATATAAAGTATTTAATACTTTCAAATTAATTGAAATTAATATTTACCTGCATTTCATTGCATTATATATAAAATCAATGATAAACGAGTAGTCGTCACATATTTTGTATAAATCATTGTTTAATCGTCGATACTATCGGAAGGAATAAAAGTAATTTTATTTAAATAAACGTTTTTAATATAAAAATTTACGGTGTTTTTAAAAAGGGATATCTTGATGTTACAACTGATATCAATAATTGATCTTGGTGTTTGTGATAGATTTTTTATATTTCTCAAGAACATACAGTTATTATTTTCCATAATTACTAAATAAACAATTATAAGTTTATAAGGAAATTGTATATATTTGACAACTTTAGTTAAGCAAGAAAAATTCATTCAAGATATATAAATAAATATAAAGTTTTTATTTATTAATTTAACTACACTAATTAGTATTGTATTGCGTTAATCTCAAAATACTAATACAATTGCACTATTTTATTGCACTATATCTTAATGTATTAAATTATTCAATGTAAAGACAAAATATCCTTTGCTTAATTTCATTTGCTAATATTTATTTTGCACTTATTTTGAATTTAGCATCTATCATTAACGTTAGTGTAGCAACATAAATTACAATAATAAATTTTGATAAATAATTTATAAACGACATAAAAGTTGTTTTGACAAAAAGTTGTTATGTAATTAACTATCAATATAATATGTTTTTGGATGTAAATCAATTCAATGTCGATTAAATTATCAATAATATCAAAATTCATATTTAAAAAATAACAAACATAATTAACATTTACACAGAGTATTTTTATTACATTACATACAGTGTATGTATGTATGCAAAAATTTCTCTTGATTGAATAATATTATTTAATTTAGTAAATTCAAATTCAAATAAATAAAATAAATTTAAATACTATTGATATAATTATTTAAACAATTAGTATGTTTTATAACATAAATAAATTACAAACACATTTATAAATCAATAAAATATCAATTAATCCAAATAATTTTATCAAAGGTATATTTATCAAATAAGTAACTCAATATATAATTATAAGATAATCTACTTTTTTAATTGTTCATTAAATATGTTATGATAAGCATGCACATTTGATTAATACTGGGCACTAAAACTATATAATTGTTTACATGTATTATTAATTTGTTTCTCGACTGAAGAAACGGTGAATATAATGACCAAAAATAGCATAAAACACAATACGAGTGCATAAAAGAGGACGAGTTTGACGACAAACACTGCTGTAGTAATCGTTACCATAAATATCAGCAAAACTATTATCGATCCCAACAATAACCAAACGGATAGAAAATACTTTGACCAATAGGTTAGGTTGTAATTATCGATCTCAACGCACACATCATTTAATTTGGCAATTACTTCCTGTAACTTACCATGTGCATTGAACTTTCGACTACGTGCCATAATCATAATGGTTGTATTTAATAAATTGATTTTTATTTTCAGATATTTACACATGAGATAAAAATAGCAGAATTGCCACAACAGTATATTGTAGTTCTGATAGGAGGCATAGGATAGCAATAGGGTGTTGGGCACGCCGTACACTATAACCTCCCATAATGAACATTTTATAACATAAACATACAGACATATTAGGCCAAAAACAAACGTGGTCCTTGTAGTGATAAACTTAAACACACGGAACATGAGTTTTGATGAATGTAAAAATTGGGAAAAGGATTTGTTATTCGGCAGTCCAATTGTGTCGGGTGCGCACCCGCCGGACAACATGATAAACACTCGCATAAACGTGGGTTCGACTGTACGCCAGTAATTATAACCATAAATCGCTTGTATACTAATGTTATGGAGACTAAATAGTATGGCCCCGATTTTAAAGTAGTACTTTAGGCCTACCAATCGGGTGGCGTCGCCTAGTATTAAGTACCATATATAATGTCCATCTGGTATATTGACCAAGATTAGTTGTATTATTGCATACGACAATATAATACCAGCAACTAGTATTGGGTGCGATGTGCATGGTCGATTTGTGGGTATATTGGGTTTATATAATGATAACCCAATTCTATACAATTGATTGTCTGCTGATTTTATTCGCAATTCTTTAGGCAATAATTCATTGCATTTAATGCCAGACATTGTTATTCAATAGACGTAAGAAATATATCTAGTTTAAAATATGATTTTCAACATATATACATAACATTTAGTATCCGTATTTGTATAGAATTAATTCAATTGTGAGCACAGAATAAATATACAGTATTTAATATTTGAATATAACATAATATTAAGAGAAAAATAATTAACATTAAAAATAAAGCAAAATATATACATAAAGATGTACATATATAAACATGTACATATATACATGTGCATATCTTTATATATGTACACATATAAAGATTTTATATGTTCTTTATATTATTAGATCTTAAAATAATAATATTACAAATTACCGTACAATAAATATAGAAAAACTTAAACATGGGCTTTTGGGCATTAATTAAATTACCAATTAAAAGTAATATTTTGTAATATTTATATAAATGTAATTTATGAAAATATTTATTTAAGCATTAAATATAAATAATATAATATCAAATAAAACATTTCTAAATAATATTATGAATAGTCACTAACTTTGTAATAACATTTAATTACTAAATAAAAAACGAAATATTTCAATAGTAAAAATAAATTATAATTATTGTAGTTTTTATTCATATTTAAATTATACTATACTTAGATTAAAACTTTATTAAACATAAATATAAATTGTCACATAGCTATAAAAATAATTATATTATTGTAATATTCGCAAAATTTAGGAAATCCTAAAACATATGATGTAAATTATATTACTAAGAATATCAATGTCTCTTTAAATAAATATAAAGTGATAATAAAAGCTAACATTGAAAGTATGAATTCAATGATTATTACAAACGTGGTTAAAATGTAACCGCATATTAATGCATAGAAGAACACTTTAATATCAATTAGTTTTAACTGATGATAAGTTTCTGAATTTGTTGATTCAATAGCAGGCTTAGTTTTTAAATCTGATAATATACTCTCGGTTTTGGCAATGATCTTGTTCACTTTTATTCGCCAGTGCAATAGACCCGTCTTAACCATTAATGTAAACCTAGATTACAATACGAAAGCATAATTAGGTAATCATTATGTATTTATTTAATTACTTTTGTTTGAATCGTTGTTTAATCCATGGATTAAGATCCTTGCGAACTAATAGACCAGATATGGCTAACAGTGTGTTTTCAACGGACTTGTGAAAAGATAGGCATGGGTTTAATGAGAGTATATCATCGATATCCTCCTCGTCTGCAATCAATACCGATTTACCGTCGATTATAGGTCTAAGAAAACTAACCATGTACAAATCATTTGCTTCAATAAACTTGTATTTTAATTGTGGATGTTTGTCCTTATCAAAATAAGAAACATATTATATTTATTTTACAAAATTTATGTATTAAATATTGTAATTTTATTGATTACAATAAAGCATTAAAATCCTAAATAATGGATAATGAATACAATTTATATGTTATACCTTAAGATATCCCTGATAGATGTAGTAACTAGGGTTAATTAAGACAGTAAGTTCATGGTTATAATTAGTGTCCAGAATATCTTTTAATGAATTTATGGTAAACATCGGACTATTTGCCAGATTTGATTGAAAACCACTAATAAATAATTGTATTAGAAATACACAACTGATTATCCATACAATAAAAACTATATTTGTAAATGTCCTTGGTCGAGTATATTTGCTTATTGTCGCTATTAATAAATTAGGAAAATCATTTATAATATACAGAGTAATTTATTGTAACATACATTTTCCCAATAGGACTAACATGTAATCAATCAACACACACAGAATAACCTCGATATAATTGAAATAATTATTTGTTGATGTGTGAATGTGATTCATAACCGTAATCAATCCGCTTATAATCAATGAGAGCAATATCGCTATCCATAATGTTGTACTAAAAGTGTCCAGCATGGTTAACTTGCCAGCTAGTTGCACCTCGCTCGATAAGATGCTCAATTGATTACTAATTATAGCCGGGTATAGTAACTCGCTTATTGATAGCCGATCACTCGTACAAACCATATAGCTGTCAGTTATATCGGTTCCCTATATTTATTGAAAAATGTTACTAAAAATTGATATACGTTATTAGTATTGAATATAATAATTATTTATTGCATTATGCTCAATTCCAGCCATAATTCCAGTCCAACTGCCATTTGGTAACAAAACACCCCCGATATCGTCAAAACTTTGTATAAATGTTATTCTAAAATAAAATTTATTTATTTCATAAATTGTTTTTGACAAATAACATAATGTAATCTAGATCTAAAACTTTCCATATCAGTTAAAAAACGTAATGAAATTATTGTTTTACTAAGGTAATTTATAACACAATAATCACTATAATGTGTGTAATTGAGTCATTTAAAATGTAATTATCATATGTATGCCACGTTTAACATAACAAATGGTCTGAAATAATTGAAATTAATATTTACCCGCATTTCACATAGTTGTATATCAAATCTATGATGATAAAATAGTCGCCACATATTTTGTAAAGTGTTGTGCTTATTTGTTTATACTATTAATATAAAAAACATTTACAATAATTTTTTATTTAACGTAGGAATTTTAATTTAATTTACATAGATATTGAAGATCGGTATTCTAATGTTACAATTTGTATCACTAACTAAACTTGATGATTGTAGCAAAACATTAATATTTGATAAAACCATACAGTTTTTATCATTCATAATGAAAAGCAAAACAACAGTTAAGATTATTTTAAATGATCAAAAATTTGATTTATTTTCAAATTTTGGTGTAGTGAATAATATTACAATGTATAATATTGATTAATTTATAAAAACGTTTGTTTATTTTGTTAAATAAACATTCATAGAAAACACGATAATATCAGAATTTACAAATAATAAATATAATTTACCTTTATACAGTATATTTTTATTACAATACATTTGTATGCGAGAATTTATTTTGATTAAATAATGTCATTTACAGTACTTTAGTAAATTAAATTTCAAACAAATAAAACAAAATAATATTGAACTAAAGGGATTTAAAAAATTTTGTAATTAAATGTCAGCAGTTTAACCATCTTCTGGTTACTTGATTTAATAATTTATAAATCCATATTAATTCTCATATATTTAAAAATGATATTAAACTTACGAAATAAAAATATTTCTTAAAATACCTTCACAGCACTCATCCCAAGTTGCGGACAATTTTTCTAGTTTTTAAACATATAAAACCCATAATTATTTTAATTTATATTTAAATTATACCATAATTAAATTAAAACTTTAATAAATATAAATTGTCAAAGAGCTATATAAATAATTAACTTATCATGTGAATTATATTTATGACATTATTAATGTCTTTTCAAATAAATATAAAGTGATAATGAATGCTAACATTGAAAATGCGAATTCAATCATTATTACGAACGTGGTTAAAGTGTAACCGCATATTAACGCATAGAAAAATACTTTGATATCAATTAGTTTTAACTTATGATAGATTTCTGAATTCGATGATTCAATAACAGACTTAGCTTTCAATTCTGATAATATACTCTTGGTTTTAGCAATGATCTTGTTCACTTTTATTCGCCACATAAGTAGACCTGTCTCAACCATTACTGTAAATCTAGTTCACATTACGAAAAAAAACAATTAATAAATATATTGAACATTATTATGTATTTATTTAATTACTTTTGTTTGAATCGTTGTTTAACCCATGGATTAAGATCTTTGCGGACCAATAGACCAGATATGGCTAACAGTGTGTTTTTGGTAGACTTATGGAGGGGTAGACTCGGGTTTAATGCCATGATATAATTGATTTCCTGCTCATCTGCAATCAATGCCGACTTACCATCAATTATAGGTTCAAAGAAACTGGCTATGTATAAATCATTTGGTCCAATAAATTTATATTTTAATTGTGGTTGTTTATCCTTATGGAATAAATAATAAATATTAATTTAAATTATCATTATATTTTTTGTATTAATTAAAGACTTTACATTTAATTTATTAATCAATAAATCACCTTAAGGTATGCTTGATAGCTGTAGTAAAAGGGGTTAATGAGCACTGTCAGTTCATGGTTATAATTATTATCCAAAATATCTTGCATTGAATTTATGGTAAACACCGGAGTGTTTGCCAGATTTGATAGAAAACCACTCATAAATAATTGCATAAGAAATACACAATTAATTATCCATATAGTAAAAACAATATTGGCAAATGCTCTTGGTCGCGTATATTTGCTTACTGTTGCTATAGTATAAAAATTAAAACATATAAGTTATTGATCCATGACTAAATATATTTTATCTTACATTTTCCTAATAGAATTAACATGTAATCAAGCAAAATGCACAAAATAACCTCCATTGTATTAAAATAGTTATTAAAGTTTGTGTGACTGTGATTTAAAACCGTAATCCACACGCTTATAATCAATGATACGAATACCGCTATCCATAATGTTGTGCTGAACGTGTCCAACAGGGTCAACTCGCCAACTAGTTGCACCTCGCTCGATAATATGCTTATTCGATTACTAATTACAGTCGGGTATAGTAACTCGCTTATCGATAGCCTATCACTCGTGCAAACCATATAGTTGTCAGTTATATCGGTTACCTATATTCATTGAAAAATACATGTTACTTAAAATTAATATAATTTAAATATTTTTCAATATATTTATTACATTAGAATTAATTCCAGCCATGATTCCAGTCCAACTGCCATTTGCTAACAAACCACCCCCGATATTTTTATGAAAATGTACAAATGTTATTCTAAAATAAAATAATTGCATGACGTATTTTAGTATTAATTTCATCATATAATATAATCTAGATTTTAAACTCTCCAAATCAGATTAAAAACTTGATGACATTTTTGTTTTATCACAATTATTTGGATCATTATAAAATGAGGTTATCATATTTATGCCACAATCAACAAACGAAATAATTAAAATTGATATTTACCCGCATTTCACATAGTTATATATCAAATCTATGATGATAAAATATAATATATAAAATATAATTGCCACATATCTTATAAAGTGTTGTGCTTATTTGTTGATACTATTAATGTAAAACACATTTAGAATAAATTTTTTTAAAGTAGAAATTTTAATTTAATTTACATAGATATCGATGATTGGTATTCTAATGTTACAATTTGTATCACTAACCAAACTAGATGATTGTAGCAAAACATTGATATTTGTGAAACTCATGCAGTTTTTATCATTCATAATGAAAAACAAATTAATTTTATTTTAATATTATTTTTTTAATGATCAAAAATTTAATTTATCATAAATATTTGGTGTATTGAACAATATTACAATGTTCATAACTGATATCTTACTAATAAAAATGTTTATTATTGATTCATTTGTGTAATAGTTTGTTTATTTTATTAGATAAACATTAATAGAAAACATAATAATATCTGAATTCATAAATAAGAAATAATTTATCTTTATACATTATATTTTATTTACATTATATTCGTAATTTATCTTGATTAAATAATGTTATTTAATTTAGTAACTTAAATTTCAAATAAATAAAACAAATTACATTTATAAGGTATAAATTATACATTACTAGTTAAATAATTAACTAAACATTATTAAGCAATTGTAATTCAAAGTGGAGCACATCTCTAGCCATTGAACCGAATGTATTGCTCAGCGACTCAACAATTGTCTCATTAAAGCGGTAAACGGCGGGTGTTTTGCGGTCTAAACACCAATTGATTGCCGACAACT